GGGCCCCGCAGTCCCCACCAAGGGGTTGTCACCCCAGAGGTGGCCCCTGACGCGCCGTGGGGAGAGAGCGAGGGGGCTTGGACACGAGAGTCGGGGTCCCACGGGAGGGGGCAGGGGGGGCGGGTGCTGCCCGGCTGCCGTTGGGTCCTTTTCTATCCCACTGCGGCCCCTTTGGAAGCAGGAGATCTTGTTCCATCGGGTCAGCGCGAGTGTGATGGAGCCTGGGCGTTGTGATGGACCCCAGATGATGTGATGGACCCTGGATATTGTGATGGAATCTGGGTGTGGTGATGGACCCCAGCTGACGTGATTTGGGTGTTGTGATTGACCCCAGATGATGTGATGGACCCTGGATATAGTGATGGATCCTGGCTGATGTGATGGACCCTGGATACCATGATGGACCTTGGATATTGTGATGGAATCTGGGTGTTGTGATGGACCCCAGCTGACGTGATGGATCCCTTCACATCCCTCCTCCAGCAGCAACCAGCAGCCACACTCGGGAGTAACCAAAGTGGGGCCCACATGGAGCGACCCGGCTCTATCCTTCCCAGCAAGCCCCCGCCGTGCCCTCTCCCTCGCCCCGGCAGGGCCAACTCCGCTGGCCATGGGGCGGTTGCCCAGGCTCAGCCCCAGCCGTGCTGGTGCTCAGGTACTGCTGGCCTGATCCTTCCTCCCAGGTCAGGCATGGAGCAGAAGTCTGCAGGTCTGGACAAGAGCTAAACCCATTCCTGGACACCTTTGCTGCCGCTGCTGTGGTGGGAAGGGTGCCCAGAGTTAACCCTGGGTCCACAGGTGTGTGGTGGAAGAAACACGGAGCCTGAGCAGACTCTCACTCCACTCCTAAAACTAATATAGATGCTCAATGTGAAATAACTAAATTTAAGAAGAAATGTCCCTTGCTTTCACTATGTTCTGCCCCAAATCCACAGCCAAGCTGCTGCTTCGCTGAGCTGCTCAAGGCTGTGGGTTAAGTGAAGCGTTAAAGAGCTGTAAGAGCCCCAAAGGCTCCAGGACGTGGGGCCCAAGTTCTTCTACAACCACCTCGTCGCATAGAGGTGCAGGCTGGCTTCAAACCCAGGAAAAAAAAAGTGTCAGAAAGTCCAAGTCAGCTCTCCACTAAATTTAACAAAGGGTGTGAAAGCAGCTTAAAACCACTGCTGGGTCACAGGGGTATGGGGTTCTGTTGAGGGGGGAAAAGAAAGGGGCAGCATGGGCAGAATCAGTAATTTGACAATCAAAATCAAACTTTTTAATGCCCTGAGCCAGAAATCTAATTTCTTGTAAAACAGGAAGTTTTTTTCCCTCCATCAGTTTATGACATGTCACCCTATTTTCACAAGTGCTCAAACTCATCGAGATTTCCCAGATTATTCTGATAACCTTCAGGAAAGTATCTTTAAAACCAGAAGCTAAACTGCACTGCAGGGACAGGGCAGGTCCTGCACGCTGGGAAATGAAGACAAATTGGTGGTAAGAAGAGGCCCATTTTCTCCCCGAGCTAGAGTCACCCGTCCCGTTCAGTGGCACAGGGGATGAAACGCAGAGTGGGAGCTTCCCCGAGGGAGGGAATTGGGGAATAAAGGCCAGGGCCTGGGGGGCAGACGATGAACTGGGGGTAGGGGTGGGACGTGATGCAGGTGAGCGGGACAGCCCCGACTTGGCCCACCCAGCACCCACCTCCGAGGCAAACTCTTGGGAAGGAGATGTTGGGACTGGGGAAGGTCTTCGTGGGAACACCAGCTCGGTGCTTGCTTTGATTTTCTGATAATTCTCAACGAACCAGCAAAGAACACAGCAGGCAGTGTTACTGGGGCATCCCCACCTCGATGGTGGGTGAAGGTCCCCAGTCCCTCCCACCCCAAAAAGTGAAAAAGAGAATGAGCGAGCAGCAGTCCCAGCTTCCGAAGAGGGAAGGGAGGATGAAGCAGCAGAGGAAACCAGGAGCAGATGATGAGCAGTACTAGGGAAAGTTATTCCCTGGCCCCCTGTGCAGGGGCTGTAGCGCTTGAAGTGATGGAGACAGGGGGGTTGCTCCCCTCCAACTCACTGCGAGGATGGAGGCTGGGGGGTGCTTGGAGGCTGCACAGGCTCTGAAGAGGTTTAGAGGTGCTCAAAGAGGGGGGAAAAAGCCAAAACCTCAGCCCCAGGAGGACTGAGAGGCAGCCACACGTGCAGGAGCTCTGCTCTTCGCGGACACAACCACGCTCCCTGCTCTTACACAAAAGAGGGGCAAAAAGGGGTGGGGGTGGCACTCGGGTGAAGGTGTTTCAACGTAAAACACAAAGCCAGATTCCAAAGTTCTGTATTTTTCAAAATAAAGATCACACGTTGTTTAGAGACAATCTACACAAGAGTTACAAAAAATAGTCGCCCAGGCATAAGCATACACAGGTTTGTTAATTATACACATATGGTTACAAGTGTGCTTGCAAAAAAGTTCATTGGAAATATACACAAGGCTCTGTAAATGTACACCGTGTAGTGTTACAATTCTATATTCAAACAAGGAAAATTGACAGTATGTTACATTCACTTACAAGTAGACAAAATGCAAAATACAGTTCATCTTCTGTACAAAAAGGGAAGGTGATTCACACTTTACAAAGGTGAAAAGGGACTCTGATTGTAAGGAAAACTAGGGGATTCTGTACTTTTGCACTTTTTGTTTCTTACTGTCACAAAATAAGCAAAACATTACTTTTTAAGATTCAAAAAAACACTATTTTGAACTGAATCATTTTTTTATAACATTTAGAAAGGATCGCTACTGTTCAACTAGGTGACAAATAAAACCAAGCATTTATTTTTTTTTTTAAACATTAACTAGGCTGTATAAAGAGAACATTTCCTTCAAAAGAAAAAATTTACTTCTGGTTGAAATTACAATTTACAATATACAACACTATATGCTACGACCATAAAAGGTGTGAATATACACTGAAATGCACAGGTTTTGCTAATTCTTTTTTCTTACCAAAAAACGGGTTTATGTCGATTCAAACTTCTCCACATTTACATTACAGAGGTTTACAAATGTACAATTGTACAGTCAGAAGTATGTTCCACTACTAGGGTACATTATAGATACAGATCAGACATCAAAACAAGAAAATACTACAAATTTTTATATATGTAAAGTCTACACCAAGTATACACTATATATTTATAGAAGCAAGACCAAAGCCGAGTTGGATTTTTTTTTTTTCCTCATGCTAAATAATCAAATTGTGTCTCTCAATGTTAACAGAACAAACTGAGTAGGCAGTAAACAAGTACACCCACCCCCCACCCCCTCGCTTTAAAAACTTTCTGGGTGTGTACATTTTCTTCCCCAAAACGACAGCTATGCTACCTCCTTTAGCATGTTATACTTAAAAAAAAAAAAAAAAAAAAAAAAAAAAAAAAA